GTCAGTGAATTTATAACTTTACTTCATCCTCTTCATTTACATAGGGCGTATGCCAAGTAGCCAGTGGAAACCCCTAGAGGGTATTTAAACACCCACGAATTCTGTAACTGGGCTCTTGAGTCCCTACCCTATGCTCAGGCGTGCTCCCACCCTGTGGAGTGTACTTTCAATAAATCTCTGCTGTTGTTGCTTCATTCTTTCCTTGCTCTGTTTGTGTGTTTTGTCCAATTCTTTGTTCAAGACACCAAGAACCTGGACACCCTCCACCGGTGACACCAGCAGCCCCCATTCTACTTTGTCTCTGTGAATTTGCCTGCTCTAGGTATCCATATAAGTGGAATCACACAGTATCTATTCCTTGGTGTCTGGCTTATTTCACTTTGCGTAATATCTTCAAAGTTCACCCACGTTGTAGAATGTGTCGGAATTGTTTTCCTTTTAAAAAGCTGAATCATATAATAATTCCATTGTATTGAGACTCCTTTTTTTAAACCCATTCATCCACTGATGGACGCTTGGGTGGCTTCTACCTTTTGACTACTGTGAATAATGCTATGAACATCCTGTCTCTGTTCAAGTCTCTGCTTTCAATTCTTTGGTATTTATACCCAGAAGTGGAATTGCTGAACCATAGGGCAATTGTTGAATGTTTTGAGGAACCTCCATGGCATTTTTCACAGCGGTAGCACTATTTTCCATTCCTATCAGCAGTGCGTAGGGTTCCAGTTTCTCTACCTTCTCATCCGTGCATTTTGCTTTGTTTTTAAAACAATAGCCATCATAATAGGTGTGAAGGGGTGTTGACCTTTTTTTGTCTTTGCCCATTAGCATTTCCATGTGGTTAGTTTCTTTGGCTCCAAGTATAAGCATGTATGAAGCAGAAAGAAAACCAGAGGATTCACAACTCATCACTCTCTGGGCCCAAGGCCTCTAGTGGGTCTGCCTTCTTCACTCCACCTTCCAGGGTCTTCTGTTGATGCCTAGTGTGCAGGGATTTTAGCTGTACTTAGTGGAGACACAGGGAAAAGTGTGTCTACTTCATATTCCTAGATGGGGAGCCCCAAAGTCTTTTTTAATGCATGGGTTCCCTCTCCATCTCTTTTTTCTTGAAATTTGTTTACTGAAGAAACCAGCGTGTTTATCCTACAGAGCTTTCCACGGGATGGACTTTGCAGATTGCATTTCCCGCAGTGTCACTTAAGGTGTTCCTCTGTGCCCTGTGTGTCATGGGGAATTGGTAGGTAGAGTCAGAGGCTTGATCTGAGTCAGATGCAAGTTTTTGGCAAGACTGCGTCATAGGTGGTGGTGTGTACTTCTACCAGGAGACACGAGAACGCTTCTTCTTTCTTGGTAATGTCAGCTCCTTCAATGGTTACCAAGCAGTTTTTCTTTCATTTCTTCTGGCACCACTATGAACTCGTAGACTTAATTACATACTTTCAGTCTGTTGCAGTTATTATTATTATTATTATTTATTATTATTATTTTGAGATGGGGTCTGGCTCTGTCACTTAGGCTGGAATGCATGGCACGATTACTCTCACTGCATTGCAGTTATTCTTACTGATGCCCATTGCACACCTTGCTAGTGGGAGCTTCTTTAAAATCCTTCTCACATGACCCCAAGTATCCTTGCTGGCACCCTTGATATGCAGTATGAAAAGATGTTGGCCAGGTGTGGTGGCTCACACCTGTAATCCCAGCACTTTGGGAGGTCGAGGTAGGTGGATCACTAGAGGTCAGGAGTTCCAGACCAGCCTGGCCAACCCAGTGAAACCTGTCTCTACTAAAAATATAAAAATAAGCTGGGCATGGTGGTACACACCTATAATCCCAGCTACTCGGGAGTCTGAGGCAGGAGAACCGCCTGAACCTGGGAGGCAGAGGTTGTAGTGAGCCAAGATCATGCTACTGCACTCCAGCCTGGGCGACAGAGCGAGACTCTGTCTAAAAAAAAAAAAAAAGTGTAAAAAAAAAAAAAAAAAGTTCAACTTGCCCTGGACATTTTCCTAAATCCAGAATCAGACCTTCTCCAGGGAGCCTGGTTCACAATTTGGGCACTAGTGGTGCTCGGTAGCTGCTGGGTTGGTCATTGTTTTTAGGTCTTTTCCAGTGAGCCAAGTTAGGAAATAAGTGTGAGTTTAAGACAAAATACATCATGAGTCCCAGTTGTTATTTCCAGATCAAGTTCAGACTAAAGTGTTTTAATTTAACCCTGCTGGTCTTATAGACACATCTTTTCTTTTCCCATGTAAACACCTGGTTCCCAATGATACCAGCATAAATATTCATTTACTCTCTCTGGCAATAAACATAAAACAGTCTCAGAATAAAAACCAATGCAACACTTTTTGATTACTGAAACTAGTTTTTGTTTATCAATCAACCATTTATTTATTGATTGCCACTCTTCTTGACCTGAGGGCATATCACACTAAGAAAGCACAGTAAAATTGCTGTATTTTACAGTTGTTTGAAATAATTCCTTTCTGTATGTTACCAACATTGTATTATATGGCTAGGTTCATTTATCACATTTTGCCTTCAATTTTCTAGAAATTTAAAAATTCATTTGATAATTATGTAAATATTTTAATGGTTCTAAAGCCAAATCTATAGAGCAAATGATATTAGACAAGTGTATCTCTTAGCCCTGTCCCCTGTACATCATTCCTTCTCCCTTGCTGTAGGTAACAACTGTAAAACATGTTATTTGCCTATACACATTACTGTTATTGTGCACTGACAAATTTGTTAAGAGGGTTAATCTCGTGTTAAGTGTCCTTACCACAAAATAAGGGGGGAGCACGAGGAAACTTCTTGAAGTGATGGATATATTTACTATGCTTTTTTACCTCAATTGTGGTGATGGTATCACAGGTGTATGCATGTCTGCTCTCATCAAATTGTATACATTATTATTATTTTTTGAGACAGAGTCTCACTCGTCACCTAGGCTGGAGTGCAGTGGTGTGATTTCGGCTCACTGCAAACTCTGCTTCCCGGGTTCAAGTGATTCTAGTTCCTCAGTCTCCCAAGTAGCTGGATTACAGGCACCTGCTACCATGAGCGGCTAATTTTTGAATTTTTAGTAAAGACAGAGTTTCACCATGTTGGCCATGCTGGTCTCGAACTTCTGACCTCAAGTGATCTGCCCACCTCGGCCTCCCAAAGTGCTGGGATTACAGGTGTGAGCCACTGCGCCCAGCCAAATTATATACATTAAATGAGCAGATTCTTACAGCTGCACAGTATTCCACTATCTGGATGTACCATGGTTTATACAAACGATCCCCCATGGATGGAGATCATATTTTCTTGGAATGGAGTCACTACTTTGAGTTATATGATTAAACCGTTCCGGATGGCTGCTTCTCATCTCTCAGGTTGCCTTGCCATCTTGCAGTCTGCTCTCAGCAGCTGTCTTCTGTGCTAGGGGCTGGCTCTATTTGTTGCCACTTGGCTAATATCTCAGATAAGGTACTAACTAGAGTTTTAATTCCAGTGTCGCCTCAAAAGCAGTGTTGTGGGGGCGGGGGAGGAAGTTCCTGTTTAATGAGTACTGAGTGTGAGTTTGGGAAGACGAATATCTGGAGACGGAGGGTGGTGATGGTTGCACAACAATGAGAATCTACTTGATGCCAATGAAACTTACACTTAAAAATGGTTAAACTGATACATTTTATGTATATTTTACCTCAATTAAAAGAAAGAGTAAGTAGGACCTATGGGAAAACCACCCCCATTTACCGAAGACTAGCAATACAAATTCCCAAGAAAATGCTCCGCCAGTGTTTGTACATAACGAAGGGAAGATTCAATTGATGTGAATGTTTCCCCGCAGGATGTTCCCAACTTAGAGATGGCTCCCCTCTCCACTCCTGTCATCAGCAAGGGCTGGCTGCCTTCCAGACTTACCTTTATCTGATATGGGCTCTTTCTAGACTTCTATTTATCTTACTACATGGTGACTTGAGTTTTATGGTTTCTAGATGAGGTGTTTATGACTAGACAGTCCAGCTCAGCACCAGGCTCTTCTCCCATACCTGCTGATGTTTGCCTTCAGGTTTATTAGCCTGGGCTGGGATGTCAGCAACATGGAACAAATGTATGCTGGGTGAGTCCCAGTGGCGTCATGAGTGCATAAGTGGGCTGTTGATTCGGGTGGGTCATGGCGACCCTTCGCCCCCTCTTCATCTCTTCCCAAGACCTCTTGCCTTACCACTGGTAGGTAGCAAATGTTTCAGATGTCACAAGACCCTTGGCTTCTGGGTGCTCAAGGGGTGCACAGCACCCCATGTTTTCTTTCCTTAACTGGTCACATAAAAAGACAGCCTTTTCAGCCCTTCAAGGCAAAACCCCAGCTATTTTATTTTGTTCAGTATTTTATGTAGTTCCATCAATGGAACCATATGGGGCTGAGTGACAAAGGGCTGACCTACCTGCTGGGGCCACCAGGCACACCAGAAACAGGAACAGCACCTGCAACTGGAGCCATCATGTGACCCGGTTCAGGGATCTTGACCATGTGGGGCACAGAGGGTGCGCCTGGCTGCCTATGCATTATCCCAGTGTTCTCATCTCGGAAGCCAGTAAGGGAGGGGATAAAGATGGACGTCTTGCTACAGCCGAAGGGGAAAAAGGAAGAGGTAGCAAGGTATCCACGTGAACTTGGGAGTAACTGGTATGATTTAGATCCTGACCACGGTCCAATAAAGCATTCATCCAGGTCCTCTGAAGACGTGACCCCTGCTTGGGAAATCCGTATCATGGAAACTTCCACGAAAGCAGAGAAGCGGGTATCATGCTTCCCCATGCACCCAACTTCAGCCTCAACAATGACTAGCATTCTGTCAGTCCTGTGGTCTCTACCCACTCTTTTTTTCCCCGCTCAAGTATATTAAAGAAAATTTCAGACCCCGTGTGATTTCACCCTCGAGGATTTTGGTATCCTGTTCCCTTAGGACTGCTGAACAATAAACACCCAGCAGCCACTCCCAAATAGTCAGCAATGTCTTTTTAATACAGATGTGGTACAGAATGTTTAATTACAGCAGGGCAGTGATTCCAGTTAAATAAAATTAAAAACCTTTATTTTCCCAAATATAAAATTACTAAATTAATGTTTTAACAGAAAATATAACATGGTGACAGCTTTAAATTACACCACCATTCACCACAGGATTTATGATTTACCAATTACATACTCCACCGTTTTGGCAAAAGGATGAAATTCTTAAAACCGTTTATAAACCTAATATAGTAAAGACTGTATACATCTCCATATTGCACATTTTTATGTACAAGAATAAAACATTAAAGTGTATTGCATATACTGGAACAGCACAGATTTATCACAATTAAACTTAATGCAGAAGCTCATGTATTAAAAATGTAGAAATGTAATACATATATGTACAGAGTGGCAGGACTGTATTAACAATGATATGTACATAACAATATACTGTACTACTTTGTACTTTTCAGCATAGTTGTGTTTATTAATATAGGCCTTTGGTTCTAAACTGCTTGACTAGTTTTAAGCTCACATAATTCCTTAAGCTTTCATATTTTTTTAAATGCAAGGAAATGAGTATAAAAGCACTAAATCTCCTGGTTCACTGATACAAAAATTACAATGGTCAGTTCCCTTAGGTCATCAAAAACTAGTCACAAAAATAGTTCTTGTATTCAACCTGAATGTGCCACAGGAAAAAAAAAAAATATTTTCAAGATTTTCCAGCTTAGCCTCGAGGCAAAAGGTCCCCCAGGCATCAATGTCAGTGCGGCCCTCCCTGCCATGTAGATCCCAGAACCTTTTTTTCTGTAGGCCATTTATTCCAACACTATTCTGCAAGGAAGAATAAAATCTAAGTCCAGCTCAGGAGTGTCTACCACACCTTTGTTAAGACACAATGAAAACTTTGAATATTGCCAGTGAGATTTAAAAAAATATGTGCACCTTCTTACAACTCCTATAGAAAATCTGTTAAGAAATAACATAGTTCTTTATTTCCTTTCTCTCCCCTTCCCCTTGGTTCTCCCTGTGCTTGGTCTCCCCAGTGATTGGCTTTGGAAAGCATCCTGAGTTTGCAAATGACAAAGCAAGTCCCCACAATCGGGCCATGAGGTGTAATCACACGACTGAAGACGAGCTGGTCATCCCGTGAACCATTGTGCTTGTTGGCGTCCCACTGATGGCATTGAAGATGTGAAGGGAATTCGGTAAGACACTCGTCTTCTCCTCCAGGGGGCAGATCTCCAGGACAGAAACACAATGTTACTGAGTGCAACACAATGTTGCCATGTGTGACACAGTGTTACCATATGCAATGCACTGTTGCCATGTGTGACACAATGTTACCAAGTATAACACAATGTTACAGAGTTTAAGGCAATGTTGCCATGTGCAACACAATGTTACTGAGTGTAAGGATGCAGCAGATATTTCTCAAAGTGTTGCACCCCACATCACACACACAAGTCTACACTCACTCCATCACGTGAGTGATGAGTGCCCGAAAAGCCTGGCTGGTGGTTTACAGAGGGAGACTTGCAGCTTATCTAGTGAATGCCTGTTCTCGGGTGAGATTATTAGAAGAAAGTCAAGAACAGCACATTATGTTTCCTTTACAAAGCAGCGAATGGAGAGCCTTCTAGGCTCACCAGATCATAAGGCAACGTGAGGTCTACCTACATGTGCTTGACTGGGACACAACCTAGCCTTGACCTTGAAAAAGCCTTTAAAAATAAATCTGGAGCATTTGTGTTTCTCTCCTGCCTCCTTTTCTCAGGGTCTTACAGATTTTGTCTGGGGAGAGGGTGGCTACTCCTCTGACCCTGAACAAGTATTTTTCCATGCCCAGTGGTGCCTGGAAGGATCTGAGTGTAGGTCTTGACCTCCAGCAGAGGCTCCCCTGGAAATACCAAAGCAGGTCTACCCCCACCACAGCCCTTCAGGGGTTCAAAGGGGCTCAGTCTTCACAGCTGTTGGCATAATGGAAAGTTCAAGGTGCAGTTGACAGCAAGTGCATTAAATATCCCCGTACTCTGGGAGTTTGACAGTTTCAGCCCATGATCTCTTACGACTTCCATCTTCTCTAGTGCCCAATGTCAGCACCCACTGACCAAACTCTCCATTCTATAGGAATCTGGAGGCTCCACAGAAAAGATCTCAAGTTTTCTCCAAAAATTGGTTCCCATGAGTCCCTCCTGTTCTGCTTAATTATTCAGACATTCCTTCCTCTAATTGTTTCCATTTTTTCTTTTTCTTTTCTTTTTCTTTTTTTTTTTTGAGATGGAGTCTCGTTCTGTTGCCCAGGCTGGAGGGCAGCAGCATAATCTTGGCTCACTGCAGCCTCCACCTCCTGGGTTCCAGCAATTCTCCTGCCTCAGCCTCCCGAGTAGCTGAGACTAGGGTGTGCACCACTACGCCCAGCTAATTTTTATATTTTTTAGTAAAGATGGTGTTTCACCATGTTGGCCAGGCTGGTCTCGAACTCCTGACCTCAGATGATCCACCTGCCTTGGCCTCCCAAAGTGCTGGGATTACAGGAGTGAGCCACCACGTCCGGCCTCTACTTTTTAACATGTCCAGAAGAGGGTGCTTTCCTCTGCCCATGTACTGTCATTATGCCAATGTCTGCAGCTGCTCAAACTCAAAAAAAAGTTAACAGCTTTTTCTGAGTCAGATTATCAGAAAAATAAAATTTAAAAATGACATTACCATCCCAGCTGAACATGTTAGCATGGAGGAGAAAAAAAGCAAGTGAGTTAAAGCTCACACACTGACATTCGTTTCCTGCAATGAAAATGTCCTAACTAAACTGTCAGGGGATAGGATAACTCCACAAATGGCCCTGGCTTCCACTGTGCCAGACTGAAGCATGGTCATGGAGGGGCCAGACAGAGCAGTTCTGTGTTATCAAGGTGCTAATGTCAATTATAGAGAAAGGACAGTGACTGAGACAGACCCCTCACAAAAAAAAAAAAGAAAAAGAAAAAAAAACAAACAAAAAAACAATGTGGATGCTGCTCTAAGCATTCCCTGGGTACGGGTCACCATCTCCTCTGTGACAGCTGAGCCCACACACAGAATCCTACTGAAGAAACCCACAGGAAGGAGATAACAGCAAAATAATCAAGGAAGATGCCCGTAGTGACAAGGAACTTAAAGGAAGAATTCACAATGCTAAGGCCCGCTGTACATCATCAAAAATGGAATTGGTCTGTATTTTTAAATGGCAAAAACATTGAATGCAACAGATAATTCCTTAAACCAGGTTGGCAAGTCCTGCTTTTTTCAAGGGATTAAAGGAATACAGTTGTCAGAAGAGTATGGATATTTTCGTGTGAGTTTTTCCTTTTCTTTTTGGCTAGATGGGGTGGGGAGAGAGAAAGCTTAGGAAACACGGCCACCTCTTAGAGCCACGAGGAAGCGGGCCTGCTCTCCCCTGCTTGCCGTGGATAACAGCGTATGGGCAATCTGTTCGCTGTTCCCAAATGACCTGGTGCTAGAGCATGGCAGGAGTGTGGTATGCCACATTCTCCTTCAGATGCCACGGTTCTGGAAGGATATCAGGTGGCCTAGGTCACGATAGGGTGTACCTCACACCCCTAACCAAGAACTCCAAGTTGTCGGAGCCAGCACTACCCTTACCTGCTCATGCATGATTTCAGAAAGCTCCTTCGCCATTTCCCTGTAGTTGGCTTTCATTTCTTCCTGATACTCGAGCTGGTCTTCTTTAATCAGACGTTCGTTTACCGCTAAGGCTTGCCCGCAAGCTTCCACAAATTGCCTGGAATGGTACAGGCGGGAGAAACAAAGGCACGCAGAGGATAAGGCATGAGTCCGACCAGCAGCATCCTCTCCCGAAGGAGCGCAGAAATGCTCAATACTTGAAGAGAAAAAGATGCTTTCAGTGTGCTTTACCTGAAAACTTCCTTAAGCAGCTTCACTTTATTGTCGGGATATCGCTTTGTGTTTGTGTCATCTAAGAAAGCTCGCGCATAGGCCAGGGGGCCAGCATTGACCTAGACAAAGAGCAAAGGTTTTCAGTTGCATTAGGAGGAAGATTACCACGATAATCTGCTCAGTTTCAGTGTGCAGGCACTAAAAAGCCTGTCGGTGTGAGCTACTCACAATCCCTGCCTTCCAGGAACTTAAGCCCAAAAAGAAACCATGAAGCTCACTCTGTTGCACACCGCTTGATTCCATGATCTCAGCCATCTTCGGGCACTTGTGGTGATGGTTTATTTTATGTAGGAAGAAACCAACGCTTGGAAAACTTAGGGGCCTGTTCAAGTTTGAACAGCCAATAAGCAAAACATCAGAGATCACAGCCCAGGTCTTCCAAATCCAGGTCAAGGATTCTTACTTCCAAGGTGTTTAGTCACAGGGATTTGTGCCGCACTACACTGAACTAACAGGCCAATCTGGTGAATTCAGTGAAAAACTGAAAAATACAGTAACTGTTCATTTCATTGGATTGTATAGACAGCCACGGGCAAACTGATGTGCTATGCTTGGATGAAGTGAGCATTTGCGGTGTGCTGGAGAGCCAGATGTTAGGAGCAGACAGCAGGGGTGAGTGAAGCAGAACCCTGCATCATCCTTCCAAGCAGCTAAGAAGAGTCTGCGGATTTTGGATAAGTAAGGAAAGGTAAGAATGTGGTGAGAAAGAAGGCTGGACACACTGAGATGGGAAGAAGAATGTTCCAGGCGTCTGAGACAGCCTGGGAAAGAACGTGACTATGTGCTCACTGCATGATATTTCCCGGAAGGTCTGGTGAGCTTAGCAAGGAATTAGAGGAGCTGTCCGTGTGTGGTTCTGACACATGGTAGGCAGGACTTGTCTAGCAATGGCAGGAAAACTGAGCCACAGGAACTCACACCAGACGTGGGGAGACAGGAGGGTTCCAGCCACAGTGGTCAGAGGGGGGCCTCTGAGCCAGGAGGAATGGGTGAACAGCCCAAGATGCGTGAGGGTGGAACTCAGCACCAGGCTGGTGTGTGGGGGGAACCATATTAATCACCTGAAGATGACCCAAATGACTGATCATCTAAAATGATACAAGACGGTCCATATTTGAAGAAGATAGAAAGAGGAAGGCTGATGAGTCTCCGTAAGGTCTGATAACAAGATCCTGGAGTGAAATACCAAGAAGCTCCACAGATGGCTCTGCCCAGTAAAGCTGCAGCGCCAGTGAGCTGCTTGATGAAACAATTACAGAGATACGCAAATAAAACGATAAAGTTAATTTCCTCTGGCTGCAACTTTGTTGTTACTTTGGTAGGTATGAGTATAAACTTAATCTTCTCATTTCAACACGGAATTTCTTGCTTTTTAAGATGATTGGGAATTTAAAATGCTAAGGTTACCCTCAAATTAGCAGGGCATATTTTGCCTTTTAGAAAGCTCAATGGTCCAGCCCTACCCTGGACTGGTGCCACAGCCGTCTGGTGGCCTTTCCATAGGGACTGGATGTTCCCAGATCATGTCGATTGAGTGGTTTTGTTTTTAGCGACAGAAAATTGTGGCCTCTGGACCTGTTACGTAATCACTCACATTGCTGGAATACTTATGTTCACTTGCTAACTTATTTGGCACATATGTCTTTGAGAGTATCAGGAAAGAGATTAAAAACATCTGTAAATGCTTTTGTGGTGAATGACACAAAGATGTCTACTGAATTGTATAGGTAACAACTCATGGTTCTTTAGTGTGGATCTGATGGGAAGTTGACAAAATACAATTTCAGAAAATGAACCAAAAAAACCCAAAACCTATGTATTATAATCTACATGTAACTTTCATAAACATACCCTTCTTGAAAGATAAAATAATAGGACATACAAATAAATATATACACACACACACATATATATACATATGAACAAACATGTGCTTCAACTATATACACTTAAAAATACCAAGAAAGTAAAGAGTCATACTTGTTACTGGAGGGAAGCGATTTAACATTTACCAATTAACTAGGAAACCATGTAAGAAAGATAACTTTTTAAAAACCTCTTATTAAAGTATAATATATGAACGGAAAAGTGCATATATCACAAGTATATAGCTTGATGAATTTTCACAAACTGAACATATATGTTAGTATCTAGATCAAAGATGATCTTTTCAATAAATTGTGTACATCACTTGGAAGGTCATATGGAAAAAATATATCCTGACCCTCACACTATAACATATACAAAAATCAGTTCCGGATGGACTGCAGACCTAATGCGGATGCTGAGCAAAGGAGGAAAACCTAGGAGAATATCTGTGAAATCTTGGAGTAGACACAGATTTCTTAAAGAGAACATAAAAATGCTACCAATAAAGAAAAAATTGATTGACTGGGCTATATTAAAATAATGAATTCATTAATCAAAAGATACCATTAAGAGACTAAAACTTAAGGTACTTTTTTGGATACAATTTTCACAGAAAACAGAAAACAACAGTTTTATAGGAAAACCTACTGCTCTCCACACTTCTTTGTATTTAGAAGAGTCCTGATGCTTCTAATCAGGCACCCAGAATTCCCCAAATACTGACAAATCAGGGTAGTGTATGGAGATCTGGCGCTTGTCCCCACAGTCAGTCAGTCCTCATGGGGCGGGGGGTGGGGATCATGAGGTTTCCTCCCCTTCTGATATCAGGAGAAATGTCACAGACGTTGGGGGAAGGGAGCAGGGATCACTTGGTAAACCGAGGCTCTCAAGTAGACGTTGTTGGTGGAAATGACTCGCAAGTCACCCAGGGGCAAGGGCTTCCCCTGCCGCCCTCCGGCCTGCTGTGCCTGGCTCACCTGAACACTCACGCTGCCCTGGAGCTTGAGCTGCAGTTTGATCATGTCTACCTCGGCCGAGGAGCACAGCTGCCGGAGCTCTGCCACCTTCTTACTCATCTCGTCAATCGCCACCTCGATGGGGTTCAGGTCAGTGTGGTGCTGGTACATGACAGGGATGCGCTTCTTCACGTAAGGAAAGCAGTGTATGGCTGCAGAGGATGAGCCCCAGAATTACTCCATGGCTTGCATGAGCTTTAGTGTTACTGAGGTGATTATTATCAGAAATGATTATTACAGATGTCATTATTCCTCACATTTTAAAACAAGGAACTCGAAGCTTGCCAAAGACACATACTAGTAATTGGTGGAGCTAGAATATTGTCTTCCTTTACAATCGTGTATCTCATAAAGTCAAGAGAGTTGGGTCCTTGTTATCCTTTTAATGTGACAAGCGTGTCTTTAAATAAATCAGGTTATCGGCCAGGCGCGGTGGCTCAAGCCTGTAATCCCAGCACTTTGGGAGGCCAAGACGGGCGGATCACGAGGTCAGGAGATCGAGACCATCCTGGCTAACACGGTGAAACCCCGTCTCTACTAAAAATACAAAAAACTAGCTGGGCGAGGTGGCGGGCGCCTGTAGTCCCAGCTACTCAGGAGGCTGAGGCAGGAGAATGGCGTAAAAACCCAGGAGGCGGAGCTTGCAGTGAGCTGAGATCCGCCACTGCACTCCAGCCTGGGCAACACAGCAAGACTCCATCTCAAAAAAAAAAATAAAATAAAATAATCAGGTTATCATTCCCCACTCAATTTTCTCACTCCAAATGCCCTACCTTCCTTGGAAGCTCTGAGGTCTAAATGAGTTAGTGGATATAAGACGACTTTCACAACATAAAAAAGACTAAACAATCTTGAGATACTACATAACAGATTAAGTCGAGGAAATAGTTCCATAAAAATATCCTTGACAAAATTCATTTTTGTCCATAGAATAACTTTGAATCACATGCTAAATCTGTACAAATCTGAGAAATGAGTAGAATATAAGAAACAATAATATATTCCTAGGGTGGGCATGGTGCTCATGCCTGTAATCCCAGCACTTTGGGAGGCCAAGGCTGGTAGGTCACATGAGCCCAGGAGTTCGAGACCAGCCTGGGCAACGTGGCAAAAAAATTTTTACAAAAATTTTTACAAAATTACAAAAATTCGCTGGGTATCATGGTGTATGCCTGTAGTCCCAGCTACTGGGGAAACTGACATGGCTGGCTTGAGCCCACGAGGTCAAGGCTGCAGTGAGCTGTGATTGCTCCACTGTACTCCAGCCTGGGCTACAGAGTGAGACCCTGTCTCAAAAAAGAAAACAAAAACCACTCCCCCAAAACCCAAACCAAAAAAACACAAAGAATAGACTCCTAAGCAAAGGATTTCATGAACCAGAAATTCACAAACTTTTGGAGCTGTAGCGCGAATAAAGGTATTTTGAAACTTACAGCAATGAATAAGAAATAAAAATAAAAGTATTTACTTTTTCTTATATATTTTTAAACCAAAATAACTGATTAACATTGTTTTCCTTTATCATAATGAGATACCTAAATATCAACACAAAGGAGTTAATTTAAAAATGAACAGAAAAGCTGCAGGTTCTGATTTGCTGTTTCACATTTCTTACTGCTCTGTATAATAGAGAAGTATCTAATATTCTCACTTGACATATATTTACTAATAGATAGTAGATATGTACTTAAAAGCTTATTTTCTTTTTGAACAAGCAAATGTCAGACGGGAGTGGTCCTGGTCTCTAGTTAGCAAGTGGCTAGGGAAGAGTTTAATTGGGAAGGACTCATCACAGGACGGGAAACAGGGCCAGCCCCTGGGAAACACAGGGCTCCGATGGGCCGTCCAACATCCAGACAAAGGTGCAAAACATGTCCGCCCTGAGGCAGCCTCATTTGTCACATACTTACAGGCCTGCTGCCTTTTCACAATGTTTTATCAGTGAAAGGTGAAGGACTCCTGACTTGGTTTCACAGATTTTAAGTGGTAGCGCTGGGGATCCATAAAGCTCCCTGGTAGGATGGCGAGGACTCAGCCTCACTGTCCCTAGCCAGGGAGGGAGCGCTGGCAGAGGCCTGCTTGTACTTGGACAGAGGGCTGTGCTTCAGGGGAGGAGTGGGGCTGCCTTCCTGTTTCTGAGGAAGGAGGTCAACTCTAGGTTCCCAGTCTCCTTTTGCTTTCTCTGGAATACAGATCACGTTCCACCAGAGGTATATTTACTCATCTGGGTACTGTTTATCGTCTGTCTCCTCTGGCTAGAATGCCAGCTGCACAGGCCCACAGATGTGTTTCATTAGCGTGCCAATGGGCACAGTGTCAGTGTGCAATACATTTTGTTGAATGAATGAATGCATTACTGCCCAAATGACTGCATGAGAGTCCAACCTGGCTCTGGAAGGTGGACAATTAGGTGACCGACTGAGCCAGCCCTTTAGAAAGGAGGACAGGGCGGCCCAGTGATGAGTATGGTGACTGCTGGTTTGTGTGTCTTGAATAGAAGGTGGAGGACAGGAGGCTAACCCAGGTTTGGAAGACTCTGGAATAGTGACTGGGAAGAAACTCCTTGGCAGAAGTTCCATGAAAGAAGGCAGGGAGGCATCTCCCCGCCCCCCTTCTTTGGGACAGGCTTGGAAATTTCCACTGAAGGAGGCTGGAGGGTGATCATGAGGTTTTTCAAATGATCTCACTGTTACAGTCAGCTGACTGCGAACTACCCAGGAAGGTGAGCCTTTTCCTGGTGCAGAGGGCAGGGAAGGCCTGGGCTCCCTTTGACCTTTGGAAGGCCAAAGGTTAGGTACAAAGCAATGCAATGGAAGAGGAACCTGAGGGGTTGATAACTTGAGGGAAAACCCTCAGGTCCAGCCTTCAGAATGCCCTGGTGTGTGTATCTAGCTCAACAGCAGATGAAATCTAGCAAAAAATGAAGAACTTTCTTTCCTCTGCTGCTTACTGTTTACAAAGTTATGACAATATAATGAGTGTTCTAACTCGCATTTTGCAGATGAGGAAACTAAGGCACAGAGAGGAAGCGTGACCTGCCCAAGGTCACACAGTGAGGCTGTGACCCAGGCCTACAGGACCCCCAGGACAGCGTCGCTGCTGTGTAGGCTGTCTCAACCCACAGTTGTGGACGGCAATCCCTAAGCCAACAACACAGGTGTCTGCCCCGCCTTTCTCTGCAGCGCACTCTCTGTCCCCTTGTTCCTGCAGATACAGAGCATTGCTCATGTGCTTTATCTAATCTAAAGTAGTCCCTAACAAAACGATGGAGAAATGTGCCCTGGGAAAACAGCCTATCGTCATGAACGTTTATGAATCAGTACACTGCCTCAACAATAACCAACCCAAAACTCCTGACCCTGACTCAGCAGTGAACTAGGTTTATTACAGGCAGCAGTTCTCTAATCTGAGCGTGCACCAGGATCACCGGGAGGGCTTGCTGAACACAAAGAGCTGGCCCCGCCCCCAGAGTTTCTGACCAGCAGTTTCAGAGGTGGGGACCTGGAACTTCCATCTCTAACAAGTTCCCTGGGGGTGCTGATGCTGCTGGTCCTGGACCAACCTTTGGTAACCACTGACTTAGCGGGTCAGAAGGGAAGTCATCACAGCTGAGCCATAAACACTGTAAGCTGATGATTCCCATAAAGTGATTCCGTCTCGAAGAGCAGTTATCTTGCTTAATGAGAATTTGCTACTAATGTGTGCATTAAAAAAATAATTATTTGGGGTGGGGTGATGTTTGTGAGGATAATATCATTTGTGCTTTACATATGCTATCTTCTTAAAAGCAGGAGTAGGGACACTTTAAGAACACAGTTTTGTTTGTTTTGTTTTAACTTTTATCTCATTTCCCTCATAGGGAGTGTGAAAAGCTCCCTGCAATACGTTGTCCTGGGCTAATTCGTAAAAACCTGTATTTTTTTTTTGATAACAGCTTTACTGAGATATAAACCCCACGCCATCCAATCTGTCTTTTTAAAGCATACACTTTGCGGGTGAGAGCTGATAAGCCCCTGGGCGCAGCATCTCCACAGCTCCTTCCGCTCATCATGATAGTGCATATTATTGCTCAGACGGAAACTCAACAACCCCAATTTCCGAGAAGCAGGCCCTTTCCTGGTCTGACTTAACTAGGGCCACTCTTTGGAAGACGTGTGGTGAAAACTGGCACACCTGGCATTCTGAACGACCCTCCCACTGATATTTCTTGGTCAAGGAAGCATTTTATGTTAGGTTACCCCAGTGATGTCGCTGACCCTAACGAGGCATGGATGGGTCAAGCTCTCCCCCAGAAGGTAAAAATCACCCGAGGATGACTGGACACTTGCCAGGGGCTGGGAAATGATGCAAAACACATTTCCCAGAGTGGGTTGTCACTGGCTCAACAGTGCCAAAGGGATCAGTGAGAATTGCCTAAGCTGAAATTGTGGACAGCCACTGAATGCAGTGAGCTTCCTGGCGGAGGAGGCATTCGAGTGGCAGCTGGCCAGCCCCCAGGGGCAATGATGTGGGGCGATCCGAGCTCACATCCCGTTTACTCACAGCCTGAGACTGCTGAGCAGGTCCATGCTAGAACCTGAGACAGGTGTGTGAGATGGGTCCCTCCAGGACTGGGTGTGGCTGCTGGACCTAGAGTCCATAAGTCACCTTAGACTGTGTGCAAAAGCATCTGGGCACATAAGGCCTGCCATTTTCATCAGACTCTCAGAAGGGTAAGTGACCTTCGATTGGATATGAACTTCTGGTCTTGTGGAAGAAGGAAGTGTCAACAGAAAAACATCCAAAGTATTCAAAAGGAAGCACTAGATAAATGGGAAACTGAAATGGGTGTGGTGGTGGCTAACTGAGCTCGAAAGGCCCTTCCAGTCCTGAAGCTTCTGAATCCCTCTGGACAGCTCTTCAGCGAGGCGTCCAGGCTGGTGTCCATGAGGCTTCTGGGGCCCATACCTGTCAGGATGGTGCGCCGTTTGCACTGCTCTTCCACCCCGCCTTGCCTCTTCCCGGTCTGCGTAAACGGCATCTCAAACATGAAGCGGCGGATGTTGTGGGATCTCTCAAACTCTGTTTTCCTTTCTTGCAACTCTTTTTCGTCAAAGAAGGGGATGACGTGAGTCACCTGGATGTAGGCATACTTGGAATCCAGATCCTTAGGGTTGACCTTTAATTGAAACAGCACAATGGAAGATTGGTACTCCGTGAAGGAACTGCTCAGTCCTTACCTACGTGGCATTTTCCAACGTTTTATTAGTAAATATAACGGAGAAAAGAGTACAACAAACATCCACATATCCACCACTTGGATCAACAACTGCTAGCAGTTTGCTCTATTTGTCTCAAATACACATACACATACACCTATGTACGCGCGCACACACACACATACACCTATGTACACGCACACACACACACATACAGACTTTTCTTTCCAGTGGAACCATTTCAAAGCAAGCAGAATACATCAGGATACTATAGCCAGCTTCTCCTAAAACTGAGGACGTTCACTTCTACAACCACAATACGTTATCGTGCCTACCCAAATTAACACTGACTCCCTAATAGCATCCAATACCCAGTCTACAGTACCATTTTCTCAAATGTCTCCAGAATGTTAGTTATAGATACCTGTGTTTGGATCAGAATCTAATCAACAATCACACTTTACATTTAGTTGTTATGTCCCTAGTCATTTTAATTTAGAAGAATTCCCTATCATTCATTTTTCCCATAACATTTAATTAATTAATTAATTTTTTTTTTTTTTTTTTGAGACAGAGTTTCACTCTTGTTGCCCAGGCTGGAGTGCAATGGCATGATCTCAGCTCACTGCAACTTCTGCCTCCTGTGTTCAAGTGATTCTCCTGCTTCAGCCTCCTGAGTAGGTGGGACTACAGGTGTGTGCCACCACGCCCAGCTAATTTTGTATTTTTAGTAGAGACAGGGTTTCTCCATGTTGGTCAGGCTGGTCTCGAACTCCCGACCTCAGGTGATCCGCCCGCCTTGGCCTCCCAAACTGCTGGTTTTCTTATTGAATGACCTCCAGTCTGGATTTCCCTGATTGTTTCTTAAACTGCATTTTTAGTATATTTGGCTTAGAGAGACAAATGTTTATTTTAGGAATAATGTTTGGAAGCTAGGTCTCCAAATTATCAGTACTCTATAGACAGCTGAGATTAGATGCAAATAGCTACATATTAATTAATTTAATACAGGTACCGATTAATCTAGACTATTCTAATGATAAATTTAGTTTCTGTTCAACACATAAATGCTTTTAAAACCACATTGCTAGAATTGGTGGTACTCTCATTTCTGTGACATGATAGAGAATTAAACATAGGCATTTCCTATGCAGAAACAAAAGCTAATTCACTAGGAAGACAAATGAATTTTGCACATTTTAATGTGTTTAACCTTCTAGAGCAATAAAAAGGGACACAAAAGAAATGACTGCAGAGAACATGGAGCCATACTGGTGTAAGCAGGCAAACAAAAGAGAGCTGTTCTCAAAACAGAGATGACTGTGAAGAAGAATGAAAAACAGATGGAAAAGTGCCTGAAACTTTAGAAGAAAATACATGAAGTCATAGAAAGTTATTATTTGGGCCAGACTCAGTGGCTCACGCCTGTAATCCTAGCACTTTGGGAGGCTGACGCAGGCAGGTCACTTGAGGTCAGGAGTTGGAGAACAGCCTGGCCAACATGGTGAAACCCTGTCTCTCCAAAAATAAAAAAATTCAGGTGTGGTGGCGCACTCCTGTAACCCCAGCTACTCGGGAGGCTGAGGCACGAGAATCTCTCGAACCTGGGAGGCAGAGATTGCAGTGAGCCAAGATCGCGCCACTGCACTCCAGCCTGGGTGACAGAGTGAGACTCCATCTCAAAAAAAAAAATAAAAAAAAGTTATTATTTGTATTTTAGAAAAAGCCATTTGGCCATTCATTCTAATTGTATCCAAACCTATTAAAACTTAACTTTCTTTTTTTTTTTTGAGATGGAGTCTCGCACTTTTGCCCAGGCTGGAGTGCAGTGGCAAGCTCCACCTCCCAGGTTCACACCATTGTCCTGCCTCAGCCTCCCGAGTAGCTGGGACTACAGGTGCCCGCCGCCACGCCTGGCTAATTTTTTTTGTATTTTTAGTAGAGACAGGGTTTCACTGTGTTAGCCAGGATGGTCTCGATCTCCTGATCTCGTGATCCACCCGCCTCGGCCTCCCAAAGTGCTGGAATTACAGGCGTGAGCCACCATGCCCAGCCCAAAACTTAACTTTCTTTAGCAGAAATAATTTAAAACAGAAAGAATTTAAAGGCAGTGGGAGTGAAGCTGTCTTGCCCATGTTGCAGTGGTGTTTCCCTACATTTCGCTTTCTGGGCTGGACATGTGTATCAGGACAGGAAGGGAGGACTGGTGCTTGGTGGAGGAGATGATCCAGAAACTCAGCTGCTGCCTCATATTTAAAGGGGAAGGAGAATGACTGAGAACCTGGAGAAAAGGCTGTCCCGTTAAAGCAACCACTTGATCCAGACAAAGGTTTCAGTTTCAGAGAAAGAGGCAAATCTATGAAGCAAGGGGGTCATAATAAGGTTGAGTTAGGGTTTCTGGTTAAAAATGGACCCATATGTGTTCATCCTTTTTCCTTTGTGCAACTCTTTAAAAGGACAGTTAGGAATTAACCTGCATGGATCCAGGGACGGGGACAGAAGACAGCAGCGGAGGAGACGTGTTAATGAATTTTTGGAGGACAGGCACATTGAGGCGTTCTACCCAACTCAGCGAAGCAGAGAAACCTAATCCATGTTCCAATGAGGTGGGTAACAGAAGTGAGTCAGTGCAGCCCCCAGAAGCCAGCGGAGGCTTACCCTTGAAGCAATTCGAGAGACTGAGTGAGATGGAGGGCACAAAATGGGGACAGTAGCCCGAAGTCTCCATCTGGAGTCGGAATTCCAGGTTCCCTTCCCTAGCTCCACCGCACAAGAGAGCAGAGGTCGTTCTCTGAAAAAACTGGGCTGGACAAACACTGAGTGGGTCCACTAGGCTCAGTGCAATGTAGGCAAGGTATCGAGTGGGCAAGGGCGGCTACTTCTGCATCTGGAATCCAGCAGTCAGATGTGTACTCCTCCCCTGGCGGTCCCCTCCCCAGATCCCTACCCAGCTGGGCAGGAGAACTGAGGATTCTTCTCAGGAGAAAATGATGGGTCCCAAAGAAACAGATTCCAGTACTGAGGACTCCAAAAGAGGGCTCAGGAAAGAACCGGGAGGACTGGTTTTGCAAGGTACAGGTCACAAAGACCCCACTGATAAAATGAGATGTGGTAAAGAAGCCGGCCAAAACCCATCAAAATCAAGATGGCAATGAAAGCGACCTCTGGTTGTCCTCACTGCTCATTATACACTAATTATAATGCATTACCATACTACAAGACACTCCCACCGGCGCCACGACAGTTTACAAACACCAAGCCAACACCTGGAAGTTCCTCTATATGCTCTGAAAGGGGGAGAACCCTCAGTTCTGGGAATTCCCTGCCTTTCTCCTAGAAAACTCATGAGTAATCCACCCCATGTTTAGCATCTAATCAAGAAATAATCATAAGTTTACTCGGTCAAGCAGCCCATGCCACTCCTCTGCCTGTGGAGTTGTCATTCTTTTATTCCTTTACTTTCTTAATAAACTTGCTTTTACTTTACTCTGTCAGCTTGCTCTTGAATTCCTTCTGTGCAAAGCCAAGAACCCACAGGGCCTTCCAGGCTGAACCCCAATTTTGGAGTTCACCCTGTAACTAAAGGAACTAAGGATCTCTCTAAAATGGTGTCTTTGGAAGAGGCAGGGCTCATCACTGGTGAGAGCAGAGGAGGAGGTGCATTTCTAACACAGAGAACGGGGGCACTATCTTTGCCTGAGTTTCAGGAAGCAGAGGGAGACCCGACCTCCTGGAGATGTCCTGAGGAGGGTGGAACACACAAAGGTACCGGACAAAGGTGCAGGTTCCAAAAGGGTCTTGTGAGAACAGAATGCCAGAGGACAGCCTCTCTAAGCAGAAAGTGATTGCTGTTCCCACAGTCATGCTGCTGGTGAGTTCATTCCTTGGCCTGTCCATGTGTCCATTTGCCCATCCACCCATCTGTTCACCTGTTCTTACATCCAGCCATCAGTGACAGAGTGGCAAGTCATGTGCTATGTGCAGGGAGAGGTGCAGTGAGTAACAGAGCCGTGAGCCTCATTCTGTCAGAGTTTCTAAATAGCTGGACTAAAAATGGCATATCCCATCAGATGTTAATTATTTTGTAAAATTAGATGTTTTAAAAATTAGGCGATAAAGATTTTTTTAATGTCAAGCATGTAATGAAAAGCACTAAAGGTATTAGGAAGAAAGTACACCTGCCACTCACGGCAACCATCCTTAATAATTTTCTTGAGTTTTTTTCTGTATACATTTAAATATATATAATATGTAATCAATCACAGCATTACATTGCTATGAAACTTATCCAAACATGGTCGTACCTTGCCAGAATCCTGTATCATTTTGACATTTTCAGAACCAAATTTATCCGAGTACAGTTTAAGGAGTCTCTGAGAAATTTCCGACAGCGGTGTGAGTTTGGGTTCCTTGTAAATATACTCCTTTCCATCTTCATCTTCAAAGAATCCCTGTGACATACAGCACAATTAGAGCTATCCCTGAATGTAAGCCCAAGGTTTACCACCTAGGAAGGGTTCTTTTGTTACAAGGGGGGAAAAAAAGGAATGAGTCTAAAGATCCTACTTAAACGGGTTTTCTGAATGAGAAAGGAAATGGTAATAACATGAAGTCTAGGTGCAAAGACAAAGAAAAAACACAAAGTTGCAAACTTATTCAAGAATGCGGTCATTAAGTGTTGAGTGAAATGAGAGATTTTGGATACAAGACTGTGCTGTCCCAGGGAAGTCTAATGGGTGTCAAGCCTGTTTCACTTTCCCAAGAAGCAGAACTCACTAGAAAATGATACGCAGCCCGCGACAGGCAGGCTCGGAAGTGGACATGCCTCCCTTCTCCTGACGGCTCCCATGCACACAGGATTTTATGGCATGAACTGAAGCGTTTCGGGGTCTGGAGTAGGTTTAGTAAAAGTTATGTAAAGCTTGTATAAATTGTATTTTGCTTTACCGATGAGAAAAAAATATTAAAGACCTGTAGCTCAATATCAGAAAATATTTTCATCTCACCAGTCATCATCTGTTTTAGCACCAATCATGTTTGACTCCAAGGCTTAGAATTGCATGGGAAGTGAAAAAGGTTGAAAATTAAAAAGTCCAACTGGGGTTAATGTTTAAAAGAAAATTTTTAAAAGTTTCTCATCTAAATTAAGAGAGAGAAAATGGTGCACAAAACAGTAAAAAAAAAAAAAAAAAAAAAAATGCAGGCTAGCATGAAACAAAAAACATCCACATCAAACTAGGAGTTTAGATGCAGTAATTTCACTATATTACTTGCTTTTTAGGCATTTACTGTAATTACCTCCACATCTGTTTCACTGTCTGTAAACTGGTATTGCTATAAAGTTATAAAAGACAATAACAGAATAAATTGAAGGTTATATAATGCTCATAGAAAACCACATGCCCTAAATACATGTATTATAATTTATACCATTTAATAATGTTAGAGACTTGAAGGTTAAGATTTAAGTTAAATTTAGATAAATCCTTTTCTATAGGGTTTCTGAAATACTGTAATTGTAAATATACTTGTGGAGATATGATATTACAAAAGATAAAGATGCACAGGCACAAAGGACACCAGAAAGTCTTAATTTTGGTTTACAACATGCAAGATAGATGTATAAGAAAACAGGTGATTTATTTCTGTAAATGGAATAAAACGTTAATTTTTTTGGAGTTTGTAATGACTGGACAGATATACATACAGACTTGAAAAGGAAACTTGCAAACCACACTGAAGTACCAAAGATGTTGCTAAGAATGTCTTATGGAGGAAGAACTTACCGCGGCCTTAAGAAAGTAATAAAGAAAAGACAGGAAGAAAGAAAAAAAGCAGAAAGTTTACTACTGAGGAAGGTAAGAATCATACTAAATATGACAAATTCATCAAATTAGCATTTGCAGAAAACAGAGAATTTATAAGATATAACTTTATTATAGTTTTTTTTTTTTTTTTTTTTCCTTAAAGGACTTAGGACACTGCAGAACGGACAGGAGGCTCACCTGCCCGAAGAAGGCTACCCGGAAGTAGGTCCCCAGCAGCCTGCGGCCTGAGTGCATGACCTCGGTCACTTTGCTGTAGGCCCGGTGTAGCGTGTCATACAGATGGGCCAGCCTCTGGAAAGCAGAACAAAGCCCATTTCTTCCCATGTGCAAACAGGAGAATCGATTTTAAAATAACAAATGTGATAATGGAGGTGAAAGTCCTCGAACTTGAATGAAAATACACTCACGCACATTCTGGCTGCGCTGCTTGTAGTGATCCATTAATGAATGGTAACGCTTCCTACCCAAAGGCCAGCCCACATGTGAGGACCCATCACATTTCCACATTATAGTAAGCAAACCCTGTTTTCAAGTTAAGGTGCGATGTCAGAGATGGTTCCCCAACGTGATTCTTGGCCTTTGCTTTTCCTGCTCCATTTGATATGCCTAGAGAAACTGGATGAACTCCCAAGGCCAGGAGGGGCGGAAGGGACACCATCTTTCCACGCAGGTGGAGTAAGGAAGAGTTCTGAGAAAGGGGACACCTGGTGATCACAAAACTCTGTTCATGGCAGCCTTTCAAAAGTGGAGTGCCAGGTGGTTACCCTGTACTTTGAGATCTGGGGGTCTCCACAGAGGCGGGGCCCAGGTCTGGGTGATACCCGATGACTATTTGGCGATGATGACTGGCCACCACCTTCAGCGTCACGTGGAGGGTCAGAGACACCCCGCTCATCACCGGCCTGTGACCTGCTTCCTCTCTTGCATATGCGCAGGTCTGGCTATATGTCACAGCGTCATGCTCTCAAATAGGAAAAAAACAAAAAGGCACTTCCATACCTCAAAATCCCTCCGCTTCTCATAAATGGGGATGATGAGTTTGTAGATGTCAGCGATGAGCTCATAGCGCTCGGCTTTCCAGAGTCCATCTGCGCACTGCTCAAGGAGCTCCATCAGCACGTCCTGATCAAAGAGGAGGGCCAGCAGCAAGAGAAGAGCATTAGGGGGACTGCGACATGGCACCCCTTGCAGAATGCTAAATGCTAAGACTGCGAGGAGGAACTTTTCACAACAGACACTTACAACATTCTTTTCTAGGGAGCCATTTCTTCATCACCGCAGTTTTTTTTAGGGAGGCATTTTTTCAATCATGATCACAAGCAAAAACGAAAAAGGATCACCCTGCACAACTACGTAATACATGGAAAAACTGACACTGATACCATCACAGGGGCTCTCAATTTTTGTTCCTAGTCATCTTAATAAATACCATCTAGCAATTTTTCTTTTCTGAGGAACAATGACAATGCTACGACATGGAGCGTTACTAAGCATGACTTTAACACAAATTAGAGTGATTTAGTGATGGAGTGTGGTGGGCACCGTGCCTGCTTCACCTTGGAAATTTCTACCAATTGAAGTTTAGGTAGTTACGCTGCTTCCACTAAAGCACTTGAACTTTGGAGGAAGTTAACACTATCCATGGCTCAAGAACTGTGGCCTGATGCACACATATGTTTATTGCAGCACTATTCACAATAGCAAAGACTTGGAATCAACCCAAATGTCCATCAGTGACAGACTGGATTAAGAAAATGTG